TTTAGTCGCTTTCTTTGTTTATGACATACGTAGCGTTGTTGAAGAGGAGCTGACGTGAATAGAGCAAACCCGTAGTCATTTTCTTTTGGCTAAATGGCATTTGCCCTCTGGCTGCTCCCTGCTGCCTGCCTGCCTGCCTGCCTGTGGCAAAGTGTGGCATTGCGGCAACGCTAATGGGCCAAAGTGCAGCAAAAATAATATTTCGCGAGCTTATTATTACTGTTATTATTTGCTGCCGCTACTAGCTAATGTTTGATGATAGTGATTATAGTTGTTGTTGTGTTGGTTGGCGTTAAAAGTGTCTTCTTCTTGCAGTTGCACATACTCACAATTTATTACGCCCTTCGCATCCCTCTTTCGGCCGCAAGCGCCTCTTGTGCGCTTTTGAGGCGTTAGCGCAATGCTGAACTGCAGCTGAAGGGATTTCTTTGGCATACAAATTCGCCAAAGTTGCTTTATTTATGCCTGCTTTTGCTGCTGCGCTGTGACTTTATTGGGTAACTTAACTTAGAACCAGCAATTGAAGCTTGGTGAACTATTAGGATGGCTGACTTTTGACTAAAAAAACATTTTTTAGTTGAGTTTAAACCCAAGTTCCGTCATATCGACAACAAAAAAAAAAAAAAAAAAACAACAACACAAAACTTTGCGAAACTCTTTGCAAAATAACAAGACAGACGCCCCTAGACGCCCGCTACTCCATGACCGCCTACCCGCCGCGGACGCTTTGCTGTCGACTGCTCGATGCGCCTAATGCATTTTAAGTACAAATTTACCAGCATTGAGACATTAAACTTTTGTTCAAAGTTCAAACAGCAGCAAGTGGGCGACGACGCGAAGACATTGAAGCGGTTGCGGCAGCGGGTGGACGGGTGGGCGGGCGAGCGGGCGAGCGGTTGCCTGATTTTGGTTTGTTGCAAAATTTAGATTGCGGAAATATGCACGCAATTGTGGCTTTGAGGCAGGCAAAAGAGCAGATTTTTCCCCTCGAACCTTGCTTGTGATTGGCGCTGTGAGTGTGCACAACAGCAGCAACAACTACAACTACTGTAGCGAACCTGACACAAAGCGGAAACTTTTTCGCCACTGAGCTGCCATCCGCGTCATATACATACATACTTAAATACATAATAATCGTTAGCAAATATTTCCGACATTGCGGTTGCATGCAGCACATGTGCGCTAGTGCTTGCTTGCCGCATGCGTTGTACAAGTATGCACATTTTTACGTTCATGAATATGTATGTATGTATGTATTTGGTTAGCTATGTATGTAGCGCTGTTATTGTATTAGTTTTACAGTAATAGTAATACAAATGCAAAATTGCTCACTTTGCCGCATCAAGCGCTTGGGCGTTGCACGTTGGGTGTGGCAAGTATACATTTAACGAGTTTGAAATGCACGAACTACCAGCTACTTGCCACAGAGTTTGTTATTTTAATTGAAACTGCAGAATAATTTCATTTTATTGTGGTTGTCAGTAGTTGTTGTTCCTACAGCTGTTGCTGTTGTTGTTGTTGTTGTTGTATGCAATCTATTTGATTTGCCTAGCTGTTGTTGCTGCCGCTTGTGTAGCGAGGAAGCTTTTTGTTGCTGGTTCTGTTGCGTGCCATCACAATTGTATAATTGTAGTTGTGCTATTGTTGTTGTTGTTGTTGCCTTTTAAGTTTTCAAATATTTTATGAGCATAATAAGTCAATATTTTAAACAAGTCTACACGGCGGCCGTGAGTTTAGCTCCACTTGCAAAGGAGCCTAACCATGCACGCACACACGCACACACATACACACGCGACTGCATACCTTTGTACATACATATGTAGGTATTCGCATTTTTATTGTATTTATGTAGTTATTTTTCCATTATTATTTCCCTAGCAACCGCGTGGCAGTGCTTTGGAAGTAGGTCACCTCCGCAAACTTGTAAGTAAGTAAGTGTGTAGTTTGCATGTACATATGTATATATATATGTATATCTGCATTTGCGTGTATGCACATAAATTTATCCGTCGTTGTCTGTGTCCATCAGTCTATATACTTTCCCGTTCTCCCCCCGAGCGTTGGCTCTTAATTGCTGCGCTTTGTCTTCCCCAGCAGCAGCAGCAGCATCTTCAACTGCTCGTTTTTTCTTTGCCAACCTCTTTTTGCTCTCATTACTTTATGCCCGATCTTTTCCCATCTTCACTTTTGTATTGCTGTGCCTCCTCTGTATCTTCCTTGCTTCAGCTACTCGACTGTCTGTCGATCACTGATCGTCGTCTCTTCCTTCTCCTTCTGGCCATTCATCTCGTCCGTGTTTTTCAGGGTGAGCCAGTTTGCATTCCTGCTTTTGCACTGCATTTATTTACTTCTTGACGCCATCCACTTTTTATCGCAATTTTTTGCTCGCAAAAAAAAATAAAAAAAATAAAATATTGCAATTTACGCTTTACAAATATCCACGTTTATCCGTGTGCCTGTCGTATCTATGTATGTATGTATGTATGTATGTTTGCATAGCTTTTAGTAATTGCATGCGAACAAATAATGTGTGTGGCTTTGCCTTTGCATTTGCAACTTTCGCCTCCATTTTGCACTGCCATTGTGCGATGCCTTCGATATTTGCCAACAAAGCTTTGTTGTTGTTTTCTTTTTTTTGCTATTGGTTCAATTTAATACTCGTATTTCGATTTCTTTACACGTCCAACAGCTAAATGCCTATGTACATATGCTTATACATACTTATGTATGTATATAATATACACACATATACATAGCAAATTTTTTAATACATATACACATACATGCATGCATAGGTTTGTGGGCTTTGTGCATCCTAACTAATAAAAATTTTACTTTATGGGTCAAGTGTCCTCGAAAACATTTTAATCGACTGCATTCATTGTGACTGCTGAAGGCAACTTTTGACTTAACAAAAAGAAAAAAGTATCAAAAATTTTAAAATTATGAAACAAACGACTTCTAGTCGAAATTCAGTTCGCAAACAGCTCTGTCGCGTTTATTTAGCTATTTCGCCTTGAACTTTCTAATTTGATGTTGGAGGCACGAAAAAAAAAACGCTTGTTCGGACGTCTTTGGTGCAAATAAACTTTGAATAGAGTTATTTTTCTTCAACTTATTCATCGATTAAGATATACATAATATTTGGTTATTTGAATGTCAATATCGTTGTGGTTTGCAAATGTCGCTTTCGATTTTGTTATCGTTATCGATACACTTAATGGTATGGTTATGGATATACATATGTATTCATTAACAAATATTTTGTTCTCCTTGTCAATATAGCTTTCACCGACATGTCTATAGATATATATTAATCGTTGTCATTAGCGATATCTTTACTGTTATTGTAATCATTATTGCCAGCATAATAGTTTTCGTTCTTCCACAGGGGAACCAAAAGCTTTGTTATCGCAGCCATTCTTTTGAGCGTAAAGATTTCGTTTGACAGCTCATTCGTACTCCAATTGAGAAACAAAGCATTCGCATCAAAGAATACATAAATATTTTCTGGATTAAAAAAAAGTGTTGATCGGTTTGCGAAAAAGTTAGTCCTGCACTTCTCCTCCAATTCGTTGTGGCTAATTCGAATCTGTTTTTGTAGCAAAAAGTCATTTTTCTTACTTAGAAAAATAACCTTTTTTGTCGTTGGTATTTGATAAAGAAAACTTCAAACCCAGTAGCGGTGCCTTTTGTGGTCAAACTCGTTGTCTGTGCGTGAAATATTGGAATCGATTTTGAATCCTGTTTTTAAAACTATTTTCGTACTACCACATTTAAGCAAATAATTATATAAAAAACTAATAAAAATATGGAAAATAAAGAAGAAATAAATACTTTCTTATTTTTTTTGGAGAGAAAAGTTCAAACCTTCGACATAACCTACAATTCATTTTTTTTTTTTGAAAATGAATTCTGAAAATATTTTTTTAATTAAAAACGTGTAAAATGAAGAGTTTTGTGTTTAACTCATATTTATATTTCTGAGGAAATGACTTGTTTTGCAGAGGTTACTTTTTTCAGCAGACAAATTAGGAAATTTAGATATTTCAGCTTTCAATTGAAATTTATATAATTTGGCAATATTTTACCTTTTTTTAAATTAGTGTCATTTTTTTCTTTAGTAAAAATTGCATTCAAACTTTTTCAATAAAACTACAAATTAAAACAGTGACCCTTTTAGACCCAACGGTCGTCAAAAATGTGCGAAATAGTATGCCGATCAATGAAAATTTATGTTTTGTTTTTTGACATAATCTACTTGTGTGGTCATAATTATTTTTTGCCAAAGAAAATGTGTCAACTTACCAATAGTGCAAAGGTTATAAATTTGAGTTATGAAAATTATTTTATGTTTGTAGATTCAAAGGGGCATAATGTCAGCTAACAATTTAAAAGATTTAAAAATCAATTAAAGTTATGAAGCGGTTACAAAAAGTTTGGATCAACATTCTAAAAGGCAGTCAATAGTCTCGTTGAAACAGAAAAACTCTCCAAAACACTTTCAAGGAATAACAATAGGGGTATTCTCCAAATCTTGCAAAGCCATTGCACGTAGCACGGTTTGCACGGATTGCATAAATTGCAAACACACAACAAGAAAATTCATGGGAAACAACATTTCCTATCGCTGCAAAATATGCAACGTCGAAACCCATGTATATATTTTGCAAAATAGCATAGCAAGATAATAGCGACCCTGTGCTAGTTGTTGGAATTGCTACATATTTCTCTCATCCTCTCATATCGCTCACTTAATTTTTTTTTGCTGTCTCTTGTTATTGTATTTGATACATAATTTCGCTGCTTGCTCCCCATGCATGCTACCTCTTTGCAATGGGGTGTTCTCGTACTCTTCGAAATTTGGAATAGTATTTTTGCATTTCGTGCAATCCGTGCATCGTGCAAGACTTCGAGAATACCCCTAATCTGATTCTCCCAAAGGTTGATCTAATTACATACATACAAAAAAAAACTACATCTTTGCATCGCCTACTCACCTTCAATAAATCACGAAAATATGGACTGCACGCCGACAATACGACGCGATGCGCTTTGATGCTGCGTCCCTCGCACGCCAATGTCACATCGACGAAATCCTCATCGTCACGCAAATTCTCGAACGCCGATGTTATGCTACTTTGGTAGTTGTTCCAACGCAAACAAAAATGCTGTGTCTCGTCCATTTTGGTGGCTGGCCTTGTTTCTGTTGTTGTTTGAGATTTTGGTGTTGGCGTTGACGATTCTATTCCAATGGCGCTGCTGTAAAAGCGTCGCCGTTTATTTTGTTTCACTCTTATGGGTATGCTCTTATTGTTTTGTTGCTGGGTTGATATAAAATTGTGTCTACTTGTAGGCGTAAAGTAGTTAATGGTATTGTTTTATTGTTTTTGTTTTTTTTTTGCTCAGTAACGTTCTCAAATTGATTTGTTGCTGCTTCTTATGCGTTCTTAGGTTGTTGTACTTTCCTTGAGTTTGACTTTTTGGAAAATCTTACTTTCTTAGTGTATACTATTATTTTATATGTATTTAGTATTTATTTGTGTTTCAATTAAATAAACTGCAAAGAGAAGGGAAGAAAAATTAAATAAGATTTTGTGGGAAGAATGTGCGCTTAAATACCTACAATAAATAATATTGGCGAATGTCGGCAATGGTCATGGAAAACGAATGATCTCATAAAATACTCTGTTTTTGTGGTTTTTAGTGACTCTTTCTATAATTATTTAAGCTTTAAATCGAAGTTCTAAAAGGTAAAGGTTTCGCGCATGCGTTAAATGTTTCCAAAAAATTCCATGGCTTTTAACAGTACTTAACTATTGCTGAAACCACCTCCTTTCGTTTATTTCAATTTTTGCTTCAAACAAATATTTTTCCTCAAAAACCAAGATTTATTAGTTTACAGTCGACATCTGAAATGTTTTTTCTATCTAATGGAATCTTTTTTTATTGCTCCTCCTATAAAAAACATAAAGTTTCCTTTATTATTTCCTATAATGCTGAGTTTTAAATGGCGAAATATTTAGTTTAAAATATATTTTTATAAAACACTCTGTTGTTTTCATCACAACACATTTGTGTGCATAGAATTTTAATCGCACTTAACATACTCAGAAATTATCAAAAGTAGAAATGCCATAACAAACAATGCATTTGAAGTGTAGAAAATTCAAATTAAAATTCACTTTTAATGGGCATTAAAAACAAGCTTTATTTATTTTTGAACTCCAGCTGAGGTTATTGACATTCAAGGTTAGCCGTTTATTTTGGAAGCGCAGTGCTTTCTCATGCGAGTATGAAAAAAAAGACAAAAAAAAAAAACTTTGTATTCATTTTAACTGATGAACAAAAATTTTGAGATACATTTTTTATCGCTGCGCAGAAAAGGCTGTCTCACTTCGCCAAACCGCGCTGGAAGTTAATCTGAAAATTACTAAAATATGTATCATAAAATTAGTATTTCTGCGGGCTTTTTATCAAAAATCGCCTAAGTAGACTTAACGCTATGTAAATGATCTTTTCTAGGCATAAAAGCGTCGGTCTTAAACCAAAAAAAAAAAAAAAATAACACAAACCATAAACTGCAATTTTTTCAGCTTCATTTGTAGTATACTCTCCGATGGATAGCGATAGGTCGCTAGTTAAAATTGTCTGATTCTGACAATTTTCTGAGAAGAACTTTAAATCGACACTCCTTTAAAAGTACAGCAAACGAAAGCATCTAACTTTCACACTTTTGCGAATATAACAAAGACTGTACTTTACTCCAAAACAGCTGGGCCATGGAAAAAACCGGCCACATCATCGGCATAGGTCCGCTGGTAGATACCAGAGATTTTAGGAGAGACAAAAAGGTCATAAGTTTGTTGTACAAAATGCACAACGGTATTTACTTGAGGATTGTGCTTTTTCTTTGATGCAGATTTTTGTCCGTTTACCGGTTTCGTTTTCGGACACTTTGACGATCCGTTTTCCCAATAAAGTGCGCGGCAGAAATGTATGTACAGACAAACCGAAAATTGTTGCGAAATGGAGACGTTTTTGGCTGTTTTTCTGAAATTTATCTGATTGAATTTTTTGCTCAATAGTCTTTCCTTCTGCACTTCACACCAGCGTTGTTTTTTGGACGTTCTTGGTCGTTCTATCTGGGATTTTTCGCAAATTTCATTTGAATATTTTAGAGACTGTATGTATGTATGTACATATGTAATTCGGCCATTTTAATTTAAAAACATTAAACAAAATTACTCATAGTTTCTATTGAAATTTTTTAACGTTAAGCATTAGAAAAACCCTCTATACATATATACAAAAGCGTTAGCACTACATACTTATAAGGCCGCGTTCATGATAAAAAGTTCCTTCTTAAAACAAATGGGTTATCAGTATTTCAGTTTGAAAATTATTTTCTATTTCTTAAGATTTTTGGTCAACAAAATTATGCGAAATTTTGTGGCTTGCGTGAACAGTGGGAAATTACAAAGAATTCAAGTGCCAATAGATGAGCCATTTTGGACGCAATTACGCTGACTCATTGCACTTGCTTGAATATGTACATATTTGTTTGTTTTTACATCTGTACATCTGTACTCATGTATTTTTTTTTAGCATGAAAACATATAGGGTGCTACATTTTTTTATAGAAATGGTATAGAAGTCTTGAAAATCATTTTTTTTTTATCGGAAAACTTTGATTCTCTTCAGGAGACTTGCAATAATAATGACCAGTTGTGTATTTTACTATTTTTAACCGACTTCCAAAAAAGGAGGAGGTTATCAGTTCGTCGGAATATTTTTTTTATTTATTTTTTTTTATTTTTTTTTTTTTTTATGTATGTTACCGCATAACTTTGGACCACGTCAACCGATTTCGATAATTCTTTTTGCATCGGAAAGGTAGTGTCTCAGAGGTGGTCCCATACTAATCTGGTTAAGATCCGATCAGCGGATCATGAGATATATATACATATATTTTTTTTTATGGAAGTTGAAGTCGGTTTTTTTTTTGCTAAAAATTACTTGTTTAATGCTAATGATTCCATTGCATTTTTGGCGGTTTTCTAAGAATCGTTTTGGCCCAGTTATTCAAGTTTTACGTCAATCAATCTTTGAAAGAAGTAAAAAAAAAACAGCATTAAAAACTCATTATTACGATTTCGTTGAAAATATTTTTAAACATTTTTATGCAAATTTTTTAAGCTTAATCTGTTTTGTCATCTGAGGGGACCTTTTTCAAAAAGTTCTTACAGAAACTATATTTATTCATAAAAAACTCCATTTGTGGAGGTATTTTCAAATCGGTTCAGCTTACGTAAATCTTAATTTTACCCGAAATATTTTGGTAGACGTCTTAAATATAATAAAAAAACGGAAAAACACCAAATTTTTTTGGTGATGCAGTCTAATGTACTACATACACAAACTAAACACAAAATGAATGGCTGGAACAAATAAAAACAATTTTTTTGTTTATGTACAAAACTGTACAAAACCACAAATGATATCGCACACCTAGATCTAAAGTGAGCTAACTCAAAATTCATAGAGGGAATTTTAACTGCTGTGGATCGTACAGATTCAACGCAATTAATACAAAAACAGGTATAACAGTCGTTTTTTTTTAGTTAATGTATGTATATAATCATGAAGAAAAAAAATATTTTCGTTAATTGGATGTAAGTCCTATGAATTGATTTATTCAAAAAAATCTAAATTTTATTTTTTTTTGCGTTGATTGCACTTTAGATCTAGGTGTGCGATATGATGATCGATGAGCAAATGAGAATTGTTTTGTACAACTTATTTTCATACCCTGCTCTCCATACATACATATTGTCTTAAATATAAGGAAATTCATTATAGCGTATGTACATTCAAACATACATATGTAAGCATGTTTAATAAGCAAATGATAACCAAACAAAAGCAACAAAAACTCAGCAAAATTGTTTAATCAATTGGTGTTGAGGTATGTACATATATATGTATATCAGCAAATTAAAAAACTATCTCTAATTATTTCTAGGTAGCTATGTACATTCATACATATACACACTAGGGTGCATCACTCTCCATACAAAAAAAAATACGGTATTTTATTAATTTTCGATTAAAATACAGATCATTCTTTAACAAAACCCATAAAAACTCAAGATTAAAACTCTGTAGAAAACTACAAAAAATTGAACAAATTTTCACGCAAATTTAAAATTTATTTTTCGTCGAAACTTGAAACTTGCACATTATCGCACTAAAATTGAATGGGCTATAAAACTGCGTACTAAAAAATCTAACCCGTTTGAGAAGAAAGTTTGAAATTTGGGTGAAAATTTGTTGCATTTTGTTGTAGTCTTTTACAAAGTTTAAAACTTGGATTTATATGGGTTTTGTTAGAGAACGAACTGTACTGTAATTAAAAATTCTTAAAAATTTTTAAAAATGAATAACGAATTGAAATAGCGGTGCTATAAATATGCCCAATACTGTATGTGAGTGCCGCTATTATATCTATAAGTGAGCGTTATTTATATGCTCTACGAATAGTTTGTGCTGAGCGTTTTGACTGCGCACAGTTAATGTACGTCAGCATGTGGGCGCGCGTGTGTGTGTGTCTGTGCAGTGCAAAGTTTGCAGTAAATGCTGTACGCTCGCTTGCCATTTTCTAAAAGCGACTGCGCATGCCAATGCATTAGCTAGTAGAACTCAGCACCTCGCTGCTCATTTGACTTCTCTACGCGATGATGCGATCAAATGCTGCTAAACTTGGCTTTTTTGTTGTTGTAGCTCGAATGCATTTGTAGTGGTTAATTTGGGAAGCAGAAGTTTCTGCTGCTGGCAACTACATACAAACATACATAATGAGATATATGAAGACTAAGAGAGAGATTGGCGAAATTTCGCGAAAGTTTGTAATAAAAAAAGCCAACGTCTGAGACGTGTGGCGATTTGTGACCTTGGCCAAGCTGATATTCTACAAAAGTGCAATGAACGATTTGTAAAGGTGCGATGCGTTTGCGATATAATAGAAATGTATATACATATGTACGTATGTAGTTGTCAGAGCGCTTCAATTGCTCATATCATCACTTTGCAATAACTTCAATGTAAATTTTAGTTGGTTTAAAATATCTATGTTTTTTGTTTGGAATATTTTTTCGCTGTGAATTACAAAAGGACTTAGCGACAGATTTTTTATAGAAATTTTTTTTTTAAATAATTTTTTTTTTTAATAATTTTATTTTTTAAATAAGTTTTTTTTTAATAAAAAAAATTATATAATTTAAAGAACGCGCAAGTGTACATACACCCAAACAATAAAAAGGATTGCCTACCTGACTGATTGAGCACCGTTGATGGCTGGCTGCCTCGAATTGACAAACCACTGCACGACGAAAAGGAGTCAAACACAACCGAAAATTGAAAAAAAACCCCGACCGACGTTACGTGCGACTGACTGCGAATACCGAACTTGAAAATACTGGTATTTATGAATTTCAAAAACATATTGTACATCCAGTATTAAATGTCGCAAGTCGATTTACGAATTGCACAAATGAAAGC